ATATATATATATATTTTTTCTCTCTCTCTCGCTGTATATATATATATATATATATATATATATATATATATATATATATATATATATATATATATATATATGTATATATGTGTATATATATATATATTCACTATGTTTATTGTATATGTTATATTATAAATATAACATATTATAAATAGATATATAAATGTGTATACATATATATATATATATATATATATATATATATATATATATATATATATATGTACATGTATATATATGTATATAAATATATATATATGTATATATGTATATATTAATATAAATATGCATATATATATATATATATATATATATATATATATATATATATATATATATATATATATATATACATACACTAAATGTTTAACTCGGTTTTACTGTACAATCGAGGTAAGCCCCTTATTATCAGAGTTTCTTCCAGGCATCTCTTTGGGGGGGGGGGGGGGCAGGCAGAGTCCCGAACGATGGTAGACGTATATAGTAAACAAATATATGTCCGCCCCCCCCCCCCCGGAAAATGTTGACCGCCCCGCCCCCCCCCCTCCGAAAATATCAAGTGATCCCCCGGAGAAAAAAGTCTGAACTCACTTTAAAATCAGCACATTATAAACGATGCAAGTAGGTATAATGCTAGCATTTATGCCTAATATTCCAGGTGTCGTATTCACTTAAACTATTCCAAGTTGTGTCTGCCTATAGCAAACATTGATCCGGAGATTTTAGTGCTTACCTAGCTGGGTAAACCCATTTACTTCAGTATAGAATAGCTGCAACATTTACTACTGCCTTGAATAATAACGTAACCTTGCGTTCACTTTTTTTTTAAAATCTTAGCATCTCTATTGTTAAAAACCACAATTTTTTCCTCAATATTAACGGACTAATATATAAAGTACATTCATGCTGCGTTAAAGATGTTCTCCTGCCTATAACTATTGTAAACATTAGCAATTCATATATATGTAAGGTTAATCATGTCTGGTTAAGTGGTATTAAGCAACATACACGTAGAAAACGGAGTAAAGTTTATCCCGTCACACCCAGCTAGATTTGTATTTTAGAGTAATGTGTATGATTTATGTCATAAAATGAAGGCCACTTTACACAATAACCTTCCATTCTCACACATCGCCAGAAAACACTGAATATATTAAACTTATTTGCAGTAACTCATGGAACCATTGTAAGTTCTCTCCCTATCCAAGTGTATAACAGAAGGACGTCGTGAAATGCTGGATATCCCATCAAAATTCAGTCCATTTGTTTATCGACCGCACATCAGAGGCGTAGTGACCCTTCCTGGCGCCCGAGGGCAAACTTTTGTTTTGCACCAACCTTCCTCGAACTTTTGATTTGCACCTCCCCTCAAACTTTCAATATAGTTATGTTAGAAACTTGCCTCTATATGTGTGTATTTTTCATAGATCCGGACACTTCGCACTGTAAACTGTGTTAGCCTGTGAAAATACAGATAAGACACGGAAGTTGATTACCCAACACCACGAGTAGTTGAAAAACCTTTTTAACTCTGGCTATAATAAACGTTACAGTTTTGTAATTATAAGTGGAATTTTTTTAAACGGGAAGCTTTGAACTTGACTCTTGAACAATATTTTAGCGAGGTTAAACGTTACAACGCAAGATTTTTTATAAAAAAGTCTCGAATTCGGTACCAGAGCTTAAGGAAATGTAGCGACAAAAAAGATGCTGACCAAACAAGCCTCATGTAGACCTATGTGCTCATATAGTTCTGTTGTTGAAAATAGCAACTTAGACGTGATTAGGTTAAATTACGAATGTTGTTTAAAATAAACGATAAACACTATATAGAACGAATTGTTTTAAACAAGTTTATTGTGTACATCACGAACTGTTGGGACAATTAAAAAGGGAAAGGAACTAAAACAATAAAAACATCCCATATTTTGATCACAGCGATCTTATTTTTTCAACTACCCGAACAAACAATCGACCTTAAATCCTGTTGATTGATATCTAGGCCGTTGTTTTCTGCTAACGTTAAGTGTCTGCAGTTAAACACTAGGAAATATATTTGGTTGAGAGTTGAACATACAATCATGTCATAGAAACAGGCCAACTCCTCTTAATATTCCCTCACGGGCTAAATTGTCCTAAATGTTTACTTTATAAAGGTCAAACAGCTTGAATCTAATATTTCATAACACAAAACACAAAACAGAAAGCCCGGTTGGAAACTGATACCATACAATGTTTAACAGGTAGTCGTTTGTCATTTTAGACCGACAAAGGTAGACACGTGAAAAACCAATGTTCTCTGTGCATACGTCTAACAGCCTTCACACATCATTGCATACGTACTATCAGATTACAACAACGGTGAAATGACAGTACAGTAAAGCAGCTAATGCACTGGAATTGGATAAGTGTTTGGTATTATGGTTACACTTTATGCTAAACGTGTTACATATACATCTCAATCATGTATTTATTTGCAAATATACACTATCTTGTTGATATTGTGTTATTGATATCTATAACAGATCTGTTGATGTTGATCAAAATAACCATTACAAGCATAGAGAATATGTAGATTGGAAGCAAGTGACAATGGTGTTTTAGATGTATCCTGTTCGACTTAATTAACTATGTATAATTAATTTCACGCTAGTCATTTAAACGTTTATATTTCACTTTAAATTATTTTAGGGACGAATGTTGAATTATGACGTGTTAGTAATTGTTACGTCCCTTGTATTATGTATATCATGGTTACGTCCCTTGAGTGGTCACTGTGTCTTCATTGGTGTACAGCAGATGTGTACCTATTAGGGAGTTAACAAAAGGTAGAGTCAGAGACAGGACGTCTGAGCTCGTTTATAACATAAACAAAGTACTAGAGTTAACTCAAAGAAGTTTCTATTTAAGTAATTAAGAACAACATATAATTACGGGTTTTCTAAGATACCTTAGCATTGGTTTTTAAATTTTAGTGATTGTAAGTGTAAGGGTTTAGTATAATTTTGCTGCAGTTTTTTAAAAATATTTTTTTCCTATCATGTTCATTGATCATAATTTAGACAAACTCACGAAACTCAAGTTGGCTAAAGTAAGTTAATTTATTTTTTAAAAGCACCTTACATTCAATAAAACGTAATTATATATATTTTTAATAGAACACTTTTCTAAAAAAACATCTGTATAAAGCAGGGGTCGGCAACCTTTTCAGACGGAAGAGCCAAAAGTTACAATTTACAAAATTTTCCAGTTTTTAAAGAGCCACTAACATTTTTATTTCAATATTTGGTATTTGATTAGGATTAGGTAAACAAGTATAATATTTTTATTTTAAATAAATAACTTTAAATATGAAATAATATGTATTCATATAAAAAAATACAAATGTTTTGCACAAAACATATTAAATTATTTTAGCTAGCTCTGCTATGATAAACTTAGTTATCAAATAGTAAAACTGTAGGACTATTCCAATCCACTTTAGGGGCTCTTAACTGTTTTTAGCGCAATTTCCATACGGACAATTGCGATTATTAACTCGTCAAGGATGGATGTGTGTCCGATGTGTGTCCGATGGGTGTCCGCAGCTTTAAGTCGTATTTCCTCCTCAACGAAGCAATATCGAGGACTAGTTCCAAAGCAAATTTGTTAAGCAAGTTCCGAGGATGATAGTGGGCCAAAAGAATTACCGGAACTCCTTCCTGGACTTCCCGGAAAAGCCAAAAAACCTTGAAAACGTGCAGTTTTTTAGCCCATATCTCGGCAACCAGACCCCTTAGCGACTTGAACCATTTACCAATCGATTTCTGCCATAATTTAGAACAATATTGCCGAAGTAAGTTTTCAAAAATATCCTTTCGTTCGGTCACAAAAAATTAATTAAGGAAATTGCGCTTAAATTGTCACTAGACTTTTTATTAACTTGTTTTTTTTCTAGCTCTGGAGGTGTCTCGCATTAGCCAGTCAGGCCTCAACATGGCAAACTCCGACTAACTGGCTTGAATATCATTTTGATTACCGTGTATTGGTCGCTTCTGTCCTTCGGTTCTCACCAGGCTTATCTTCCACCCCACTGGACGCAGGGTAAACTTGTACCCCACCGTCCAGTACCCGGCTCAACAATAGGAAGCTAATAAGTAAAAAACTACGTCACTCAAGTCAAACTAATGATTACCGACAGATAGGGAAATGCATTCTGAATGAAATAACAATCCCCATTTAACGATATTAGAAAAAGTCGGCACTTGGTAAGTGGCAAGCATTGCACGGCTGTGGGGCTGGGCTTGGTGCCAATGCGACTGACAGCTGTCCGAATACTCTCTACCCCCACCTATTCACATTGTTCGCTGATTAGAGTTTTTATTATGTTTGAAGTTGTGTTTCTTTATAGTATATTATTTGTTATGGGTTTTGAAAATAAAACAATACAATAATTTCTAATATGTGTGCATCGAACTCGAGAGCCGCCACTTGGCATCAAAAGAGCCGCATGCGGCCGACCCCTGGTATAAAGTAATATAAAGTGTGTAGAATACTAACATATGGACATATGGAATGAGAAGTTGTGGACAACAGTTTTTTGTTATTTTAAAACATGAACGGAGAACAAAATGATAAAATCTAAATATTATTTTATACTGCATAATCAATCACAAAAAAATGACAGATGTTAACTTAAATAAAGACGATCAATGTCAGTTGTATGAAGTTCGCGTCTATGTTAGTGTTGCGAGTTGTGTGGTATAGAAATAGTACATAATTATGTACATTTAAAGGATAAGATAAGAAGTCATCAGCTTCACATAGAACTAAAATCAGGTCTGGGTTATATATAGCTCAAGATATAGTTCGTCTAGAACTTGTAGTGTAGACTTAACAACATAAACGTGTCTTAAAATAAAATCGCATTTGTAATTCACTCCCCTGTTTCACACTGTTATATTTACAGACATTTTCCAGCAATAAGATTGTTATGATTATTCAGTATTTGCATACAGTACATTGTCTTCAACATTATTATCTAAATGCTGAATAAGTTTCTCAGATTTCTTCTCAAGGTTGCTGTATGTGGTCGTCGTATCGCTGTATCTTTGTAGCACTTGATAAAGGCAGTGGTACTGTTGCTGTTGGAGTACATTGCAAGGTGGTTCGGTAAATAATGCAGTAATGCCAGAAAAAAACTTTCTCCACAGAATATTATGATAAACATCAAATAGGAAGAACTTAACAGTAGAATAAGAGAGATGATAGCCTCTAAATAAAATTTGAACGTAAGTAGTCTAATTTTAAAAATGTCTTGATAAACAGCAAATAAGTATCACAGTAGTATAATAGAGACTTGATGTAATACAGTAGCAAAGAAGCGAATCTCTACGTTACATTGAACAATAACTTAATTCATAACACGATAACATGACTCACCAGTGTAGGAATGACCTGTGGTCGAATGGACTTGACCGCCCCAACAACTAATGGCACAGCTAGCCGTAGGTCATTGTCCATCCTGTCTAGTAGGAGGTTCAAAACACAGACAAGACCGCTGTAGGTGGCCCCATCTCTGATCATCGAATTATTATTCATTAATTTAATGCCTGACTAATAATTTTTTTTACATTAGAGATTTATTAAAAGTTCAATTCTCAAAACATTAATTTTAGCCTACGCATAATGCGAAATAAATTTAATTTTTATTACCTGAAAAAATTAAAGGTTTAATACATTGTCTTAGAGTCAGCTAGAAGATTTCCAACGTAATGTTTTAACTCAAGGCCATAAAACATATTTTACTACTACATTAAACAAATCTGTGAAAATCTTTCTATTTTTTAAACATAAATTCATTGTAAACATAAATCTTTATTTCTAAACGCGTACCTGCACATGTATATCACCCTCCCTTTCTTGTTTGCGTGTTTTCTTGTTTGTTTTATAAACTGCAGCAACGTCTTTGTGTCCAGTGTGGTGAGTTTACTTTGTAGGTGTAGAACAGTGTGACCGTCTTGTGTCTGCAATAGTACAGGATTGATACTGTCTTAATATAAAACGGTGTAAACTAAATTCACACAATAACGTATACTTCAGTTAACATTCTAGTTATCCTCATTACTTGAGCTTACATTGAATGACTTCAGCTGTAGAGGTCCCATAGTTCTAACGACAACAGTTTTTTCCTCCCATAATGTGTGTGTGTTGCTTGACTTGAGCTCCACTGTGTAGTCTCTGATGTTCAACATCTCATTGGCTGAGGCTGGCAGGTAGTGACCTAATGTCTAGATTAATGGACGATAGTTATAAAATCTCCAAAAATGACTTTATATTTGTATACATATTAACATAATTCAAGTCTAAAGTTATGTCTGGCATTACTAAAAATGGGACTGTAGTAATTGTGTGGTAAACTCTACAAACAAATTAACAAATTTTACTGTTACTTATAATTTTCGCATTACGACTATTGTATATGAAACAATATATCTTAAACTAAATTCTCAGTTTTTTGCATGAAGACATTGTCAATAATAAATATGTTTTTTTCCAATGTCAAAGATGATGAACCAACGAGTACCATGTCGTGTAGCACAAATCCACATCAAACACCACCACCAACGTGACGTTGTACTCAACAATCAGCCTCCAGAAGTCTTCCACAGTTGTTGGCAGGGGCAGTTGTGTCAGCAGTTGATGCTCAAGTTTGGTGAAGCTCTGATGGTCAGGTGGAATTAAAACAAAGATTTTATAATTTGTTGATGGTCAAGTTTGGTGAAGCTCTGATGGTCAGGTGGAATTAAAACAAAGATTTTATAATTTGTTGATGGTCAAATTTGGTGAAGCTCTGATGGTCAGGTGAAATTAAAACAAAGATTTTATAATTTGTTGATGGTCAAGTTTGCTGAAGCTCTGATAAACAGTTGTAATTTTAAAAATTCTTCTAAAATGTGTTTTTTTTAAATTTTAAAATGTAATCATGTTTTCAAAAATAATCATTCTGTTAAAAAAAAGAAAACAAATCTCACAGGAAAGACAACCGCGTTAATGTAGTCGCTGTCTTCTGGTCTGCTTCTAGACAGCTTGGCTTGGTACAAGCGATCTTGTAATTCAGATAAACAGGTACAAATCAGTAGTTACAAAATTAAAAATTGCTGAATTGAAAAAAATAACGTTAATTAACTTTCACTTTATTTTAGCAGTAAAAAATATTTTCTACAATTATAAACAACTATGATGAACCGAAATTACTCATGCATTTTATTTTCAGTTACTGTTGTTAATATTCATTAAATCGATTAATTTAATTATAACAAAGTACATACTCGGCATTATCTCTGGGCACCGGTTTTTCCTCATCAAGTCCACATCTTGGTTGTTTTCGTAAACCTTCATTTCTTTTTCTTCTTCTTTACCAGCTGTCTGTAAGTCAGCGCTTACAGCACATACCGACTGGGTAGAAAAATACATGCTTACATATTTTATGTTGTATAACTCATATACAGATGGACTAATTGTAAATCTTGCTCACCAACATACATCATATACACGTGACTTACATTAAATTCTTTCTCCAGATTAGTTTTCCCTGACACAGATTTGTCCAGAAGATTTTGAACCTTCACGTCAACATCATAGGCTGTGATTGTGGTACCTATACATGTTATTGCTACTTGTGCGGCTTTGTGGAGAAATTCATATTGTTCCTGGTGAAGTAGAGTTTAAATGTACTAATAATTGCTTTTAAACCCATAAAAATTATACGTCTAATTTAAATAAAGCAAATTATTAGGAATCTGAAGCTACTAGTTTTGCAGTAGTTTCTATTTTAATGACAAATGTATACAACAATAGACAATTATAGACTAAATGCCAAATAAATCTACCAATATTTTTATGATAGAGGAAATTATGTATCTTAAAAGAGCCATTCACTGACAGCTGATTGAATCATAGGCTTAAAATAGCCTAATAGTCCCATCATCCTTGAAAAAGCCCCAATTCCCTAGCCTAAACGCCCCATCGACCTACCCAAAAAGCCCCCTCCACCTACCGCTGTTTGTACCATATTCATCCTGTCCTGTCTTAGCCTGGCGACTGTCTGTAAGAAATTAACACGTCCAGTCTCCTCAGCTTCTCTCATCACATTTCTCAGTGCGATAAATGTCCCTGTACGGCCAACACCAGCGCTAAAATTACGTTTGTAATTAATAGGACATTAACAAAACTAAAACATTTCTCAGAGCGATACATTCCCATGTACGGGCAACGCCAGCGCTAAAATCACGTCAACCATTAATATGACGTTAACAAAACTAAAACATTTCTCAGAGCGATACATTCCCATGTACGGGCTACGCCAGCGCTAAAATCACAACAATTAATATGGTATCACACAAAAGTAAAACCATTTCACTAGAATTCTGTAGCTTGTTGTGTTTTGTACACTCTGCTTAAACTAAAAAACCCAGCAGTACATGCAAGATTGATTTCTTAGTTGTTTAAAAAAAAATTCAAGACTGTGTAAACTTATTTTCACATTAAACTCTAATTAGTTTTTTGGTTTTATGAAGGGTTCAGTATGTCGTCGGAAATCTATGAACGTTTTGCATTCTATATATTTCTAAGTTTTTACTGTGAAAATACATACAACTATTAATACATGTATGTTCAATTAAATGATAATATTATGTATGTAAAGATAACGCAGCCATGATTGTACTGTAGTAGCCAGCAAGCCTACCTGCAGTGGACGACCACAGGTCTACTGGTGGGGTTGAAGGCCACCCTCTGCTCAAAGTCCACCAACGCCCAGGGAGTTATGGGCACGCCCTTGTCCGGCCATGACGTGAAGTGGAACTGGGTCACCTGTTGGACGTCCGTGCCTTTCTGGGGTTTTACAGAGGCAATTACACTTTTTATTGATGTATTTTTTTTAGATTAAACTTACTTCAATAGATTTTGTTTGTCTCAATCTCCGCGTTTAAAATATGAAATGTCGTTAGGAAGGGAGATATACATTTCGGAAATAAAGTAGTTTTATTGAACACGATTACAATTGATGAAAAAAAAAACAACCTGGTAGCTATTTGTTTCTATAACTCGTTTCAAGTGTATTATTATCATTGTTTACGATTTAAAATACTTAACCAAAAAAAAAAACAACGGGATTAACATTTGTTGTGTCCGTGTGATAAAAAATATTCCCATTTTGGCTTGAAAGATACTAGCTGGCAAGTAGGAGAAAGAGAAGTTAATGACCTACTTACGAGACTTTTTCGCTACAAACGAAAAATGAAAAAAAAAAAAACATAAAGGTTTTCTATAACTAACAATACGGGAAATCAGAATGCTTTTTAAATAAATTAAATTTAGTTGGGATGCAGGTTTTCCCAATGTAATTACCTTACTTAACAGCAATCTTCTGATCGTGTAATCAGCAAACACATGTGTGACAGCCAGTTTGACTTTAATATCTCCAAACATCATCTTCCCATCTTCTGGCCAGTACCTGTCGCACTTGACCTGATTATACACGAGGATTTACTAAATCATATATGTATACATGCGTATTTTAGAGCCATTGTTACTAAAACAATAGTTTCCAATCGTAAATAGTGGTAAAATAAACAATGATCAACTAACCTTTCCTTCCTCTATCAAATTGGTCAACATGACAACTTTATCCACTTTTTGTTCCCACAGCATTCGTACGAAGTCGTTGATAATAATACTGTTGGGTCCTACGGAACAAACACACAGGAAATTCATATTTGAACACACGTTTTATCCCGAATGCTAACATGGCTTGAAAATATGTGCATGCAGGGCTTAAATTCAAATAAAAAATATTGGGTAAAAACGATTTCAAATGTTTATATTGTGCTGTTGTTTTTGTAATGCACTCATGTTTATAATTGCAATATTATTGAGATACATAAAACCTAAAGGGTTATCTAATAACTTGTTAATTAGAAAATACCTTGCGATGCGATGAATTTTTCCTCATTGTTGTATCCCTAAAAGAAAGAAAACATATATATTAGTATATATAGAATTAAAAAAATAAAGTTTTCAGTCTCATATGTGTTAAAAACGTGTATTTCAAGACTACCTGAATGTATGAAGCGTTGATATAGTCTCCTTCATTCTTTTTTTCATTAATATCCAAGTGTACTCTAGAATGGTCATCTGTAAAAGTAAGTTCGAAGTTACATAATAATTAAAGTAAGATAAATATAAATACAAACGTCCATAGCATAGAACACAATACATATGGCACCTACATGTGCAGATATTCTTGTATCTATTTTTGTGCTTGTTCTTTTCGCTGAGACCAATCGCTGTGGAAACATTTTCAGGTGCTGGTATATTCTGAAAGTGTAAGGAGAAAGTTTTAGTTTTTGTAGAGGCCTACAAACCAAACACTTTGATTTCATGTTGTTAAATGAAATGTAATTCTTAGTTGTTTCTAAAAAGTAATTATCATGTAACTTATCTTAAAAATACAATAGGATAGCTAAAGAAAACATAATTGGATTGACACTTTATTATCATTTACATTATAATTAAAATTATGTATAAATAAAAAGAGTAATTACCTTGAATTGCTCATCAAAATACCGTCTGTCTCGTGTGTTCATGTAGTTAGCCAACTGATGAGCAGCTATAGAACCATCTATGGACTCAATGAGGACATATTTGTTCTCAATCTTCTCTTCATTGTCTGATGATTTGTTTAAACCTTTGGCGTTGACAGTCTCGCCTAGATATATGTTACATGTGTAAGCGCGCACTGAATGTAAGTATATGTCTGATAGTATAAAGCGAAAATGCGAAATATAAAAATGTTTTTGTATGTGCGAGTAATGATTTCACCTGCCAAATGAGTTGTCTCTAACGATCGTCGATTGTCTAGTACTTTATCCGGTGTCTCAACAGACTTTTCTTTAATTTTCTTGCGCCTTGTAAGAGAACAACGTAATACTCAAGCAAGGGGTAATCTCTAGTAAACTAGCACATCTTTATAACATACATACAACGGATATATATATATATATATATATATATATATATATATATATATATATATATATACATATATATATATTGCATTTGTTTATATCAAGAAATAAATAACGTCCTACCTTAATAGCATCACAATAGCTCCAATAATTAACACTGTTATGATAGCTACCAATACAACTGGTATAATGACGGCAACAGGTTCGGTTCCACTCTCCTGGATCACTGCAACATTATAGTGATACTTTTTTAAACCAACAAATTATTTTCGCTGGTATGCTACAAAATAAACGATAGTTAACGAGAAAGCCAACATTCAATATAATGCATATATCAATAAATCACAAGAAAACTTAATTTCGGAATAGAGATACACAAAAAACTGTACTTACATTTTATTAATACATGTAAGGACCAACTTAATCAAAATGTTACTCACGCTGATCACACACGTGACCTCCGTATTTAGACTTGCATCCTTGCAAACAATAGCCGCTAACAATGTCACATTTTCCATCCCCACCACAGTTGATGGAACAGTTCTCCAGACAATTCAAGCCAAAGGTCAAATTGTTACATTCTAAAAATAAATTGTATATTTAAAAAAAAATGAATGAATGAATTCTCTTTAGTTAATATTAGCCTACGATGATGGATGCAAAACAATATATTTTATATATATTGCAAAGTTTCCCTTTCAAACCTGACGGTCTATGGGGCAAGTGAAGTAGAGTTATATTAAAATCATGTATTCGTGATTAGTGTTGCTGTCTCTGAAAGTTTTTTATATAATGACCAACTGATCATTTACCTTCATCTGACAAGTATTTGTTTCAGTGACTAACGTCTAACATAATTCTAAAACAAAGTGTATACCCATATCACACATGTCACCAAGGTAACCAGCACTACATCCTGATGAACAGTTTCCGGTTCGTTTGTCACACAGGCTGACATTAGCACAACGTTCACTGCAGGTATTGGCACAGTTCTCTCCCCATCTTCCATCAGGGCATTCTAAAAAAATCATGAATATTTATTTATATATGGTATATATACCGTTTTCGTATCTAAGAGAATTGTGTTTGATCATATGTGATATGTGTTCTAAATGTCTACATTACCATCGATGCATGTAGGACCCCCGTACCCAGCATGACAGCCGTCATTACACGAGCCGTTGGTCCGACTACAAACTTCAGGGCCAAGACAGAATGGACTACAGGTCTTGAGACAATCGACGCCCCACCTTGTGGGTGGACATTCTACAGATGAACGAAATCAAAGGAGTATCAAACGACAGTCACAACATTTGTCGATTAATCATTTATATTAAAAACACTTTATTTAAGTTAACGAAGAATGTGTCAACTTATAAGTATTACAATCCCCTCCCACCCCCTAAAAAAATTAAATAATTAAACATACAAAAAAATCTTAGAATCCTTGTGTTTAAAAAATGCATTTTATAACTTGCATAATAACTAAAAGTAAATTCCGATGGAAGATTATTTTAATAACACATATTTTATTATTACCGTATTAGCAATTTGCTAACCTACATAAATTTATAATAGTAATAATAGTATTCACTTTTGAAGAAAAATACAGATAAAATAAAAACAATGTATTACTTAAAATATCAGTAATAAATATTTTCTTATATATATATATATATATATATATATATATATGTATATATATATATATATATATATATATATATGTCCATATACTACTAGAATACACACCTATCTGACATCCCTGGCCATAGTAACCAGACAAACACCCAGATAAACATCCACCAGTGATAGACATGCAAGTCTCAGATGTGTCGCTACAGCGGCATTGTTGGTCACAGTCTAGTCCAAAATATCCAGGGGCACAGATGCGTTCTGTTATAGAGTTATAATTCAGCGAGTATATGGAGTATACATGTTCTAGATTCTAGATAAATCCTTTAAAATTGTACAGCACAAAAGTCGACACATTGAACAGACGTTAAAAAAGCCATTAGTAACACAACACGTTGAATATATTATCAGTACCCCGATATTACATATAACGCCTTTTATACATATATATATATATATATATATATATATATATATATATATATGACCTATATAATCATGTTAACAAACACGCAAGTACACACCTCCGTAAATTTCTACTTCACATAATGTCAATATTTCTGTTGCATTTATTGTAACCTTTGATACTTCTTTCGCAACTGTTGTTACGGTGTATATGGGTAATGTGATGCCACTGTCTGTATAGTTATATACTGAAGCATTGTCTGCTGAGTAGCTTTGGAGTATAAATCTTGAAAGTCTGTCTTGATCACTATCTGGAAAAAATAATGCTTTAATTGTATTGTTCTTCATTGATTGTAAGTTACTCATATTTTTAAATCAAGCATGAGATATTAAGATATAACAATTGTAGAACTGTTGCTGTGAGACAAAATATATATTATTGAGTCAACAAATTCATAATAAACAAAACAACATAGTATGATTCTTACCTCTGTTGTACAAAACGTATCGGTGTACCAACTGAGGGTATGAAAAACTGACATTCCACTGTGGCCACGTTGGGGTAGGGTTGACTGCCGTGTGCGTGCAGGAGCCGGCTGTAAAATCACTATTGGTTTTCCCGTCGACTGCATTCCTGGCCTGCGCTTTACTTTCACCCTCATCCATATAAGTGCTGGACTGGACTGCCGTCTGATTTAGGGCTACATTACGTCCTACACATCACAAATACATAGCTGTGTGAGTAGACCTATATATATATATATATATATATATATATATATATATATATATATATATATATATATATATATATATATATATATATGTATATATATGCAGTGAGACCATGTTATGTGGAGAGTGTATTTGTTTCCGAAACCCTTCGAGCTATCCAATTGTTGCCATAACTAAAAACGATTACGATTTTAGCGCAGCTTATTAATATTTGGTCAAACCCGTATGGTCAAACCCCCTATGGTCAAAGCACCTGTGGTCAAAGCACCTAGGACCGGACAAATGATCTCAGACAAAATTTCTCAGACAAAATATCTCACGGACAAATGATCTCAAGAAAAATGATCTCAGGACAAATGATCTCAAGAACTAATGATCTCACGGACAAAAGATACCAGGACAAAATATATCAGGACAAATGATACCAAGGAAAATTGATCTCAGACAAAATATCTCACAGCAAAATTTGTTTAGCATGTAAGATGATTTTAGTTGATTTGAATATTTTTTTATTGACTGTCGTATGGTTTTATTTATTATGTTTAATTTTGTTTATAGGCCTATATAATAATTGTAAGAAATGTTTACCGCATACATTTGTCATATTGCACTAAACATTTTAAAATTAAGATTACTTATATAGTAGGTGAAGATTAAAGAACTTTTGTCGATAGATAGCGTGGGTGGGCTTGAAAATATAGACAATCCAACCATGTCAGGTGGACGAAACTAGATCAAAGGGAATGAAATAACAATAAAGACACACCTTCGTATCAAGGTGGCAGCCCGTTTTGATGGCAGAGACATGCCTTAAGTGAAAGACATCCGCCCTCCATGGACAATACAACTAGCATCTAATGTCAATAATTATGCGTCGGTCACAACTTAGTGATCCGATGACAAATGCTTATTTAAACGACAGCGGTAATCGTGGAGCCTAAGTTTGTCGTAGTGTGCATGCAAACAAAGCAGTATTAGTGGTGCTTACTCAGCTATGGCCTCTTTCGTTGCCTCGCAGAAATAGGGCATTGGTTTCTGGTGAATTTATGTTTATAGAACATGTCGAGCAAGTGTTCACACAATACATTATCACATAGTATTGATATGATCAAATTGTATTGGAGAGGCATAAAAACGTTAACGTTATGTTTGTGTTAATGATGCAATAAAAACAATAGTTTAACGTTACGAACCTGAAGACCCATTCACGTTTTTGAAAAATATTTCGCGTGTTTTGAACATTTTGTATAGCTACCGTTACTTTATTTGTTTTATACATTATTATTTATTATACTTTTCAGCTAAAGGAGTAAGTTCGTTTTAATTTTTACTTCTTCAAATCAAATGCTATTAAAAAGATTAAGTTTTACAATATATTTTGATGCTTTGTTA